GATTTAAAAAAAAGACTTCATTTAGGGGAGTGAGAATACCACTCTATTAAACTAGCATTGTACTTCAACTCTCCACCCCCCCATGGATAATTCCAGAAATTTTGCAAAACTAAAATTTAAGGAAGGTTCACATCATCTCAAGAGAGTCTCATCCTTGGGCTCTCATGGACTGTGCAGGCTCTTTAACTTCATCTGTAAAATGCTAGAAGACTTGGTTTTCCGAATAGAGTGCTTCACTTAATGCCACTGTCTTTGTATTGCTTGAATTGGTTCCATTATTTCCCCACACCTAGCATTAGGTGTACTTTTAAAAACGCAGTCTCGCCATTTAAAAATTAATCAGGGGAGCGGTCTCATTAGAATCAGTTTGGAATGAAAATGTACGGGAAGCAGAGAGATAGGAAAGGGACCCGGTAGTAAATGACAAGAAAATATTTTGTTCTCCCCCATCACTTCTTCTGTTTCCATGCAAAAGCTCTTGTATGGACCACTACCTGCTGGTCTGGGCTGAAGTATGCACCACTATCTGCTGGTCTGGACAACCCATCTCCATCCTCCAAGTCACCAACCCAGAAACCGGAGGCTGAAGCGCTGCCTGGAGCGCAGAGCGCCTCGACTGAGAGGAAGCGGGGTGACTGAACCCCACAGGCACAGCCAGGGGTTGCTGGTCCTGGGAGGCTGTCTGGTGCCCTTTGGCTCTTCCAGAGGTGGCTGGTGCCCAGCGAAGGGCTCTCCCAGAACTGCACGCACGCCGAACAACTCGCGCGCACCCACCCACCCCAAACTCAGAAAGCAGAGAACACAGCACCCTCCTTTCCCTACGAGGCCCGCAACTGGGGGCACTTTCGGCAGAGGAGTGCTTCCCTTCCCTTTGGTCTCCTTCCAAGTTCCCCAAACGGGGACGGAGTGACTCACGGTTGCGCTCCCAGCTCCGACCTCTCCAACATCGGGGTACCCCAGGCGAGCTCACGAGCCACGCCAGCATCTCCCGCGCCCACGAGGCTCCCAGGGAGGACAAAGCAGATCGGAACCCGAGTTAGGGAGTCCGCGGGCAGGGGGCACACTGGCCCTTGGGCTGCCCCCCGAAGGCGATGGGCCCCCGGTTCCCCGCGAGCCCCGCGCGCTCTCCCGGCCCCGCGGGCGCGCTCACCATTTGTAGCCTCGGCCGCGCTTGAACTTGAGCGTGAGCGCAGTCTCCAGGCAAAGCAGAAGGTTGAGCAAGGCGAGCAGCCAGTACCACGGCTCCTTCTTCACCGCGGTCACTCGCCAGACCCCGACCAGCGAGTGCAGCACGAACAGCAGCCGGGTGGCCAGCGCGTTGAGCAGCACCAGCAGCTCCATGCCGCCCCGGCCGGAGCCCCGCAGCCCGCCCCGGGGGCCGG